GGGGGGGGGAGGGGGCTTAATAGAAAGTAGGATAATTAGACCATTTACGGTATTCACAGAAAGTTTGAAAGATTCATAGAAACATTCATGAAAATCAGTAAATTCTCTAATTATCATAAGCCCCCTCTGAGAGGATACAGTGAAATTTCCACACTATTTTTAAGTGTCACCTTGTTTAATAGTACCATGAACACATTTATCCTATTTATGTGATCCAGGTAGATGATGAGACTTGTCAAATATGCATGAAGAGTGATTCAGAAGATTGTATGTTACTGTGCAATGGATGTGATGATGCTTACCATACCTACTGCCTCCACCCTCCCCTGGTGTCTGTACCCAGCGGCGAATGGAGGTGTCTCAGTTGTGTGGAAAAGGTAAGATTAAATCCTTCCCAGGTTGAGGATCTTGACAAGATCTTACCATGATCTTACTAAGATCTTACCAAGACCTTACCAAGATCTTATCAAGATCTTATCAAGATCTTACCATGATCTTTCAGGATCTTGTGCATGATCTTGCAAGATCAGGCCTGATCTTGTGCATGATCTTGCTAAGATCTTGTGTGACCTTGGTAAGATCTTGTGAGACCTTGGTAAGATCTTGCGTGACCTTGGTAAGATCTTGTGNGTGACCTTGGTAAGATCTTGTGAGACCTTGGTAAGATCTTGCGTGACCTTGGTAAGATCTTGTGTGCCCTTGGTAAGATCTTGTGTGCCCTTGGTAAGATCTTGTGAGACCTTGGTAAGATCTTGTGAGACCTGGTAAGATCTTGTGTGATCTTGATAAGATCTTGTGAGACCTCGTCATGGAAGAGCCATAGCCAACCAGCATGCTTTACAATTTGTTTTTATTTTTAAAACGCGTTCGTTTTGAATAATACAACCATTACAGGTTGCAGGACGCAAGGAACAGGTGGAACCGAAGAAGGAGGACAACAGGAACGTATTTAGGCATATTTGATCGATCGTAGAAACTTAAAAACACATTTACCTAAGAATTTTTTTTCACAGTCATGAACAATATCATCTTGACATCACATACAGTGAAAATCTCGCTTTTCCGTTGTATCGGCCATGGTAAAATTCTCACTTGTTTTGAGGGTACTTTTAAGCTCAAGAAAACTGTGTCTTGCAAATAATTCTTCCAGAAATTCTTCATTACAGCTACATGTCTGAAAATCATTGTGAGGCATATAGAGATACCATATTTGAAGTTTATTAGGTTAGAAAGGTCAAGTATTGATTGTATTTCGTACACGAGATCGGTGATTTATCTCAATTTCAGAATCGTCAAATTAGCATATTTGCCTATCTGCATAAAAATTCAAACTTCTCCCGAACAAAAACGAATTTTGCAAAACCAAGTGCACACGAGTTAATATTATATGATAGGGTATCTAACTTCAAAGTATGAAGAAAATCGATTTTTTGACTGTTGCCACCTTATGTCTGATTTTTACGGACAGCCGCTCTTAAAGAAAAGAAAAACGCCGCTAATCAAAGGGGATACTGTTAACGTCAACAGGAAATAGCTACCCCAAGGACATCGAATAAAGATCCAGAAGCGGTTACACCTCCAAGCTCCATCACTGAAAGCAAGACATATACTACGCGAAGTGGAAGAGCCGTGAAGAAACCTATCAGATTCGGATTCCCGTGAAGTGAACAAACATTGAACTTTCTCATGAACAAACGTTGATATTTATAAGTTGAATTTCACTTGTTATTTTCAGTAGATAAGAAAGGGGATGTAATGTATTCATTGATTGACACATGTATGATTAGCATAGCCACGTGTGTATGTACGCAAGGAACCCAAGCCAGTAAACAGAGAGTACTAAACATCTTTATATTCTTTTGTTATTAGTTATCAGACACGTTTTATCTAAATTTCGAGGAAATAAACTAAATTTTTCAGGCATATATTATCTGCCTCATCGTCATTAAAACTAGATGTAGACATCTAAAGCGGACAGTCTGAAGCACGCTCATTTAGATGCAAATTGTGTAAGACGTGCCTCCGCATGAGATTATTTTAAAGGTATTGCATACAGGGATTTTAATTTTCCCTTCATAAAAACCCGCAGATTGGTAAAATGTTCATTCAGTTTGGAAAAAGAAATACCGTTCGTTACGCAATATAATTTGACTACTATATTGGTATGTTTGCCTTGAAAACTCCCCAAAAAAGAATTGCTTATATAGGCTAGCGTGTGAATATCCTTTTATTACTTACTTTCATTATTATATATTCAACTGTTCAACAGGCAAGTACTGGTCTGGAACATGTAATCGCGAGTAATAGCGAGTCATCAAGCGGGACGGGTCAGATTTCTTCAACTCTGGTTTTTGATTTATACTGGTTCTATATCTTCAAAATGTCAACTGACTTCCTTACTAAAGAGAATTTATGACGTTTTGGGAAAGCGAACTGCTTCCGAAGGTCAAAGCAGTTATACGAAATGAAGTGGCGGTTGTTAACAGCAAAATTACGAGCACTGACAAACACTCTCACTGAAGATGAAAAGTATTTCTTATCAGCTAAACATGACAACATGTTAACAGCTTTCCAAAACACAAGAAAAGAAGTCAGTAAAATGAGTACAAATCTAAATGAAATAGATAAAGATATCGACACAATCAAGCAAGAAATCTATAATCTCAACGTTGACATCGACGATGCAAAACAGTACCTTCGCAGGGATTGCCTAGAGATAACAGGCATTCCGTTTAAGTCGGATGAAAACACTAACAAAATTGTGAAGTTTCCAAAGTAATAGGAGTAAATATGAATCAAAATGACATATCTACTTCTCATAGATTGCCTGATACGAAAACAACAAAACACCGAATCGTTGTTAAATTTGCATCAAGAGACAAGAGGGAAGAATTCTATAAGAAGATAAGTAATTTGTATAACAACACCACAAGCTCAATTACTGGAATGCAAGGTCGCAATCGGATTCACATCCATGAATCCAGTGTTCTTACCAGGCCGCGCCATTGCGGGATTCGCGCATAAAAATCAGAAATGGCGCACAAATGTCAACTCTATGCGCCCCCAAGGGCGCATGAATTATCCAAAGAATACTTCCTGATAGTTTTAAAAGATTCATAGTACTTTTCAAATGATAAAAGTCGCATTACATTGTCGATCAACAAGGTGAAAGTCCACATGAAACGCCACGAATCGAACATAGCCGCCATCTCGTAATTCACTCGCCAAGAGGTCTGGGACTAGTCTGTGTTAACTGACCTTGTTTGTTGAAGGCTCAAGTATGGCTGCCCAGCGAAATTTTACTATGTTGTCATTACTAATAAAACTGTCTTACATTGTTGTAGATTTGCAGCAGAGTTACTGGCTAAAAACATTATTCTTTATTTTAAGATTTTGGAAATGGCCCATCCAGTTTCCTAAATGGCCCCTATATTTCAGATTGGTGGGCCCTTTGACCCCCTGAAAGAAATTCCTGGTAAGAACACTGTGAATCCCTTGCCGCATATAGGAAACTGCTATTTGCTAGGATAAATGATTTCAAGAAGACACAGAAGTTTAAGTTYATTTGGACGAATGGGGGTAAAATCTACTTGAGAGAGAACGAACAAGCAAGAAGTTATATATTCCTTACTCATGAGAAGTTTGATGAGTTTAAGGACACATATATTTCAGATAAGTAGTTTAAATAAGTTATTATAAATATTTCTAATCTATTGTTCATTATAATGTTTTAAGTTTTCAAAATGGATCCTAAGAATGATACTGATAACTCATTATTATCTAACTTAAGAGATCTGTGTGATGTCTTACCTAATCCAGAGCGGTTTGATTATATGGATTCGGATCATGTGATCATTAGTCCTAGTTCTAATTATTGTTCAGTAGATGATGTAAATGAAATGCTTGATCAACAATCTAGGTTGGAACATTTTTCACTTATTCATATGAATGCCAGATGTTTGCCTAAAAACTTTTCTCGGCTAAGTGATATACTTAGTTCAATTTCTAAGCAAATTGATATCGTCGTTGCCATTACTAAAACAAGACTTAAGTCGAATTCAGTTGACAACGTAAATCTTGATAATTATAATTTCTTTCATCACGATTCAATGACAAATGCGGGTGGGGCTGCTATATATATCAATTCTAAATTTAGAACTATCTCAAGACCAGATATAAGTTTTAATTTTGATCTAATTGAATCATGCTGGGTAGAAATCGAAACTATAAAAAACAAACCCAACGTAATAATCGGTTGCATCTATAAACACCCGAGGGCTAATATTAGCGAATTCTCAAAAGAATTTGAAAATATTATAGAGAAAAACAAAGGTCTTCACATGTGTGTTTTAGGCGATATGAATATAAATATTTTAAACTATAACGATGATTCTGCTACTGAGGAATATCTTAGCATGTTGTTTAGTAACAGCATCTTGCCACTTATAACAAAACCAACTAGAATAACGTATCACACAGCAACTCTGATTGATCATATATACACTAATACACCTCCCATTAATCTTATTACTAAAATAATCACCACTGATATATCAGACCACTTACCGATCTTCTGTGTGGCACATGCACAAGTAAATAGAACCAAAAATAAGACTTATTACCGAGATTATAAAAACTTTAAYGAAGAMTCTTATCTCAACGATAWTAGTAAAACAGACTGGGACCAAATTATTACATYTGAACTAACATTAGATGAGCAGGCAGCTAATACAGTTCATTGCCTTCAATCTATTATAAATAAGCATGCTCCTCTTAAAACTGCTTCTAGATCTAAAGCCAGACAGTTATCCAAACCCTGGATAACTGATGGATTGCTGAAGTCTATAAAAACTAAGCAGAAAATGTATCGGACACATTTTTTATCAAATTCACCTGATCGTGTATCACAATACCAGAAGTATGTTAAACTATTGAACGGACTAAAGAACAAGGCAAAACGTAATTATCACAATGATTACTTTCAAAAGTATAAAATTAACCTTAAAAAAACACGGAATCTTATTGGTACATGAATTAAAAGGAAAGTACCAACTGCAATCATCAGAAATAACAGCACATATACAAGCGAAAAGGATATTGCCAATCAGCTCAATCAACACTTTCTTAATGTAGGCCCATCCCTAAGTAATAGCATTGATGAGGTTAATATAGACCCAATATCATACATAAAAAACTCTCCTTCTTCTAGCTTTGTATTTTCTCCTGTAACAGAAAGTGAGCTCTCTCAAAAATTCTCTTTATTGGACATTCTTAGACATTCCCAACAAAATGATAAAAATAGCTTGTCTACCACTAGCAAAGGTCTTCTTGCCTATTTTTAATCAATCAATCCTTCAAGGAAAAGTACCAGAAATTTTTAAAATCTCTAAAATCACTCCAATTTATAAAAGTGGAATAATGACCGCCGCAATTAATTATAGACCTATATCGACACTCTCACCATTTAGTAAAGTTTTAGAACGATTAGCTTACGATCAATTACTGTCTTTTATTAACAAGAATAACATCTTATATAGATATCAATTTCGAAAAGGTTTCTCCAATGAACATACCATTCTTGAACTTAGCGACTATGTAAGAACTGCCATCGACAATAAGCAATATACTTGCGGAATTTTTCTTGATTTCTCGAAAGCATTTTAGACAGTAAATCACAGTATTTTATTAAAAAAGCTAGAGAAAAATGGTATACAAGGCATCCCTCTGTAGTGTTTCCGTAGCTACTTATCTAATAGAGCACAATTTGTGCAAATTGGTAATGAAAAATCAAACCATCTCTTAATGAAATGTGGTGTRCCACAAGGATCTACGCTAGGACCMTTACTATTCCTTCTTTATATAAATGATTWGCCTGACTCATCAAMTATTTYAAGGTTCAGAATCTTCGCTGACGATACTAATATATTTTATTCTTCTAAGAATCTAGCCAACCTTCAATCTATAGTTAATAATGAACTTCCGAAGAGATATAAATATTGCAGTGCCAACAAACTGACAATTAACTTTGACAAAACAAACTATATGTTAATAACAACTCCTCAGCGGAAACATGCCCATTTAACTATTCCTAACATCAAGCAACAACGTTGCATTGAGAGGGCTAGTCCCTAAAAACCAAATAACGTGACTAGACCTTGAAAAATCAAAATTCTTCAAAGTTTGCCAGATCATAGCATTTGGGCTACTATTAAACACAAAATAACTCAAAGGCTTATTGGGACGTAATTTTTTTATATGAACGGAGGCAATTTTGATTTTCGCCGTTTTAGGGCGACTTTTGGGGATGGAATACTACCTCTCAACCCAAGGTCATTTCTATATCAATCTCAAATGCCATGCACTTTTAAAGTTGATACAAAGAAAGTATAGGCATTTTTCAACATTTTATTAGTTTTATTGATAAATATGTAATACGTGGAATATTTTACAGATTTTTGAGTTTTTTCGATTTTGAAGCAAATTMAAGAAGAGCAAAAATAAGCCAACTTCACACTAAAATATCTCCACTGGTATGTCGATCCAGGACAAAAAATACTTCTGGAACAACGAAGGGCATGTCTTCTTTCGAAATGTAAAATAAAATTTTGGGGCCAGTTGAAAACAGGATTCAGAGAGTCGAAAATTAAAAGGCTCATAATCTCAAACATCCACGCGTTACGGTAACCCTTAATACCCTTAACACATTTGAGTTGCAGTTTGTGAGAAATTAAAACATATTTTTTAAACTGGAGGAACTCATTTCACACTGAAAAAAGTAAAACATTCTAACAAAGTTAAACGAACGAAACTCATTTGATTTTCCATCTCGCTACACGCAATTCTTAGGAATTTAAACATTAATTTTATAATTATTTAGCAGTTAATTAGAACTTACCAAAAATACAAGATATATTCCATTCATT